TAACTGCAAAATCTTTGCTCACAGCCTACCAAGAAGTCGAAGACCAGGAAACTCCGAGGACATGTCAGCCACGGACATGGTCGCGTTGGTGAGTATACTCTTTTTGACACAAGTTTTAATTGATTGTTTTTCATCCCCGGACGATATGGAGATGGAGTAAACGTTTACCGACTCTCTCCACAGGCAAGCACAGGAAGCATCCTGGAGGTCGTGGTAATGCTGGTGGCATGCATCATCACAGAATCAATTTCGACAAATAGTAAGTCACTCATAATGATATTAGTGAAATTTGAGTACAGTGTGACTACTGTAAAGTAGAACTCAAGTAAACCTGGCTTCCCTGTATTTGGCCATAAAAGTCTTTGTAAGGTAATATGTCTAAAAATACACAGAAGTATGCTTTTACCTCAGATATTTAAGTTAGATTATGATGTCCCTAAGTGTTGCCTGATATGATTTCGGTTGTTGTGTTGGATTCCTTTAGAGATAAAGCCAGGTTTTGTGGCTAAAGCAGTAAGGCTGAGTAATATGAGGAAAATCTAATGTCACATTTTTGGCTGTATCACAAAAAAAAACTATTTTCAGCCATATAGAGCTTAAAATTGCACTGCTATACTCTTTCAAATTAACTGTTTTATATTTTTGACAATAATATATGAATGAATTGAAATGTTTGGGGGGGGGGGTTCCATTTGTTGCACACAGAGGTTTTTGACAAATGGCAATACTGTCACAGTAAGTCTTTCTGTGGTCAACACTAGATGTTTAACAAACAAAAGATCATAGCAACAAAAAAGGACATCGGCAAGAATTCACGAGACAAATTAAAACAATTGAGATTAGAAAGATGCTCTTTTGTTCTTATAACATAAAAATTGTGAACCAAAAAATGTGATGGCCTTAAATTACAGGAATGAACGTTTAGATAGTGGCTATAAAAACAACTAACCTACAACCGTCGCAGGTATCACAGCTGATTTATTTAACGTTTCCTTTGCTGTGTGGGAGACGCTGACATGCAGGGTTTAAAACAGGCTTCATTTTGCAGTGGATGACTTTTCAGCTGATGGAATAAATTCGTGATACTTTTTGTGCCAGTAGGTTTATGGCATGTCTTGCAAATTACCGTATTTTGTCTCCTCCTTGTGAAATCCAAACAACAGTCTCACTCGCTCGCTCCTCTGTAACTCCGGCTGTCGCCATATTTTTCCTTATCGGGTAGTAAACACGCATGCTCAGCACAGGTAAAAAAAATTTCCGGTTGGGAGGGGGGATTAATGATGCATTTGCAGCGTGTAGGAGAAAAAAAAACTGACAGTGAATTGCATGCAGACAATAACAATAATAATGATAATAATGGATACTTTATTGATCCCCATGGGGAAATTACTTGTTTTTCTCTGCATTTGACCCATTCACTCAGTGAAGCAGTGGGCAGCCCACTAAGCAGGCGCCCGGGGAGCAGTGTGTAGGGACGGTACCTTGCTCAGGGGTACCTCAGGGTAGCCGTTAAGTGGATTCGAACCGCCGACCTTCCGATCATGGGGCGACCACTTTACCTACTGAGCTATCCCTGCCCCCAGACAGCTTTATATTGCGGCAATTTCCACTTGATGTTTATGTTAAAACCATTTTAACCATCGTTCATGGAAAACACGTGATACATCAAGTATATTCGATGTATCACCCTATTCTATATAGCTGTAGTGTTTCCTAGATGAGGCTTTACAGTAATAGTTTATTTTAACAATATATTATTGTGTACTATAGAGCTTGCTGTAATATATAACAAAATTAATCGGCGGCAAATTCAGCAAGTCCCTCAACCTGTAGTCAGACTCGAGTTATATCAGCTGAGTTGTGGCTGCTGACAATAGTCCCTGTTCTGCTCCGCAGCCTTGGTGAGCTACAGCAGAACAAGGACTACTGTCACTGTAGGGCAGTGGAATTGGAGTGTACCTCACACAGGCAGAAGAGAGTTGAGGTAGCTGATTGAGATGCCACCACAGCAGCTTGGTCAGTCTTTCTGTAGGTTAATACCTAAACAGCTGCATTTTCAAAGAAAGAGTAAAAATTTCATCCAGTAAATCAGAAACATGGTAGACCATCCCCACTACGGAGCTTATTTACTCAACCCAAGTCTACTTGGTGAAAACTGCCATGCAATATATTATTGAAAGATCTGGAGAGCAGTGCACTGATACTGTGTATTATGGACACAAAGAATTTATTGAACCTTCTCCCAATTTGGGGACTGTGCTCATCTATGGAACACATTTATGCTGGGTTAGTTCTGCTGTCCAGTTAAGAGATGTGCTGATTAGTTTTTACCTGCTTGTAAAAAAAGGCTGTAGGAAGAGAAATGCATTTATCTAATGTTTCTATAGAGACTAGAGTCTCATCTTGACAGACTTCATTGTCTTGGTGTGCTTGAGTCCTCTTAGATTAAAGACTGGTCCTACTCACCGACTGGCCTCCCCTATAGTCCAGTCATCCACATGGGCAGTTGCAAACACTCTAAAACACCTTGCTGATGCACCCATCACATTAGAATTGGGGCAGTAGTTTATACTATTCCACTAAATTTGAATGTCAAAGGTGAACTTCAATTAAACGTTAATATTTAAAATATTAGTGTTTGTTTCTAGTTTGAAAACATTCGATTTCATTTTCTTTCCTCGTGTTTGTCCTCAGCCATCCAGGATACTTTGGTAAGGTGGGCATGAGACATTACCACCTGAAGAGGAATACCTCCCACTGCCCTACCATCAACCTGGACAAGCTGTGGACACTGGTGAGCGAGCAGACCAGGATCAACTACAGCAAGAAGCCCGATGGACCCGCCCCCATCATCGATGCTGTGCGCGCTGTAAGTATTGCTAAATCTTGCTATTATTAAAAATGTTCTCTTGTCATAATAATTGGACCTTTCAAATCTTTACGGGAGTTCTTGTTCCTCTACTGTAGCTTGGAGTAGGTGGTGGCATGTCGACTTGTCGGCATTGAGTATCACCTTAGGAAATTGGATTGTTGTTGAGCAGCTGGAATCAGACATCAGAAACCGTTTTCTTTTTTTAAAGAACAGGTGTCCTTTAAACAGTTGAAACACTCATAGTGGAAAGTTAAATGTTTTGGATGGGTTTCTGATGAATTTGGTGCAAAAGTGTACGTGGTGCTAATAAAACAGATTTAAGACTTCTTGGTTTTCCTTAATTTTTCTGCTTTCAGGACTTTTTTTCCCTCCATTTTACACAACATTATACTCAGACATTTACATTTTTAAAGAGCTATAAATTCTGGATTTGTACCAGATAATTTTCCTGTTTTCAGTCATTGAAAATTATTTCTTTTTGTAAACATAATTTCATTTTAATAGAAAAGTTACTCTTGTCTATTAAAACTTGACTTTTGTTTGTTTGTTTGGCTGCATTTTGCTTATTGTGCTCACGTTAGCACACTCCCTTCTTACAGAAAGTTATACTGGGCATAGCTCTACCTGATGCAACCCCAAAGGGGATTTGTGTCTCTGGCTAGAGTTGAACCAGCATCCTTTTTCCTCGCCAAGCCAATGTCTAACGTTTGTTTTGTTGGGTCGACAGACTTTTTTTACTTAACTAGTGTGGTTTTGTTTGTGGTGGTTATCAGTTCATCTTAGGTTGGCTTACATGTCGTAGTTTTAGCTGTTAGTCTTATTAGATAATATTACAGTGTATTGTCAGATAAAATAATGATCTCCACCTGTGCTTTACTTTGCAGGGTTATTACAAAGTCCTGGGCAAAGGCAAGCTGCCCAAGCAGCCTGTGATCGTCAAGGCCAAGTTCTTCAGCCGACAGGCCGAGGAGAAGATCAAGGCAGCGGGAGGAGCCTGCGTGCTGATGGCATAACGATCCTGTCTGTGTGTTTTTGCAGAAATAAACTGTATAAATGGAAACTGGTGTGTGTGTGTAATTTTTTTCGCCCCACTCCTAAGTTGCAATTTGATTAGCATGGAAACTGAAGAGATGCTGTTAATTTTGATTGAAAGGTGTGAGGAGCAGAGGAAACTTTTTCATGTGAGGAAATCACCTGGATCCTCAGCACTGTTGGTCTTGTCCTTGTAAAATCTTTTTGACAAGTGTCCAAGTTACAGACTGAACAATATTCAAAAATGCACAGACTTCCTGTTTGGTTCTTTTAATATAGCAAAAGTCAGTCGTTTCTAATGACTTACAATGAAACGGTATTGCTATGCTTTTGGTAATAATATAAACTCACCAAAAAAATACAAATGTTGCCGTATGTGCTTCAGAAAGTCAGCACTACATTGAACAATTAAAGAAATGGTCAGAAAGTTAATTCTGATGTTTTTTGTCACGTCATTCTAATTAGAGGCAAAATATATGTATATTCAAATTTCTGAGGAACTTGTTTATATAGTGCTTAATCAGCTGCTTTTAAACTGCTACCTTTAAAAGAATTTTGTTTATTGGGACGTGGTGATACCCAACACAAACTACCAGATATAACTTAACAGCTTGTTTTGTAGACTGGAGGCCCGAAATGGTGTATCTAACAAGTCATGTATAGAATAAAACAGTCAAAAATAAAACTTTAATATCAGTAAATATTAAAGTTTTCTCAATTGTATCTGTGTGCAAGCAAAGCTGAAACAATTCAGTAATTGTTTGTCATGAAAGTTGTCCATTTTAAGAGCTTTCCTTGGAAACACTGGCAGTGTGCTAGACATGGCAACATGAACTTAAGAAGTTCAATTATGACTTTCACTGCAGATTAAGGATAGTTAGGGACAGTCCTGCACTTTTATTTGCGTCTCCTTTTTATTATTTTTATTTGAGGTTATATGAATTAACTAGCTGATTGATAGAAACAGAAATGCAGACTAATCCACAATCAAAATATTCATTATTTGTTTTCCACAAAACCGCACAGAAAAGATAACAAGGTAAGGTAAACGCATAAATTTCACCCTGGTTCATGATTTGAATACTTCCTCCACCACTAAGGGGCGGGCTTTAATATGTAGGATTTCCTGCCGTGTCATTTGAAAGCAGCTAAAAGCGTGACGTGAATGCGACTGAAACGAGGGAAACGTCAAAGCCAGAGTGTAAGTGTGCGGAGCACAGTTTTCTCTAACTTTGCATCCAGTAACCTGCGTACATGTTAAACGTGCAGAGCAGGTAGACGAAGTCTCCTGACACGAGGTTTGTTGACGGTTCCTGGAATAAGCAGAATGTGCTCTACATGTGACAACGTCATGCTCTAGAATGTGAGGCGTGCACTTCGAAGTGTTTCACGTCTCAGTGTTCCTGAGCTTCCATCGAGGGAAACGGGTCTGTGTTTAACAGTTCAAAGTAAGTAGCTTCAGAAAGAAGTGACAGCCCAGCTGATTTAATTTGCACGCATGCGCTGTTTCTAGGATATCCGTCCCATATGTTCTTGTTTCCCACACTGCATTTAAGGTGATTATAGTTGGTTCAAACCTTGTCGGAGGGGAAAAAAAAACATTGATCTTTGTTAACTGGCCAAGATTTGTTAACACAGTCTTATTTTTGTACTGATGTAGCTCTGTTAACTTGTTTTCTGACATATTGTGTTTCTTACGAAGCAGCTGAAAAAGGGGTTTTCTCAATATCAGATTAGAAAAATCAGATGCCTATTAGATATGCTGGATCCACAGAGCAGTTTGACATCTTAGTTTTAAAAAATCCCAGTAAGTGATAAATTCTTTTGTTGTATTATTTTGGTATATTTACAATTAAATTCTTGTCTTTTCAATATTTGTGTCCTGTAAAGCGTTCTTTGTGCCCGTTCCTTGGGTGAAGGGCACCTGAGTTTTTCCCTCCACCTGTCCATGGACAGCCAAGCCTGGCTGGAGTCCTCCCTGCAGCGCTCTGCCAGTCTGGGCTTGGAGGTGCTGCAGCGAGCCTCCAGGCGGAGTGTGGACTGGGCGAGCACTGCATCCCAAAACCCCACTATGGCAGATGAAGACACAGATATAGCTGACGAGGTGCTTTTATCTTTCGCCTTTAATATTTATAATAATATAACCTTATAATGTAATCTAAATATAAATACTTTTAATTCTTTGTTCAAAGTTTGTTTTTGTTTTTTTTTATCAGCTTGTCTCTTTTCATCTCTTGCTTTTCCAGAGAAATCCCACAGAGCTTGATAATGCCTTTGCAAAAATCGCTGAGTTCATGGCACAAACCACTAGTCATTGCAAAGTTAGTGACTATGTCCCAAAGCACCTCTATGTGGACTTCAGCTACAGACCTGGGAGAATAAAATATGGATTTTGTCTTTGTTGCAGAGATTTTACAAGTCTGGTTGTTGCACGCAGCCCAGTGACATTGAAAAGAACCACATGTCCAGGTTTCACACACAGCCAGCATCTGCAAAGACATCAGCTGCGCTACCAACCAGGAAATGCGACAAATACCAAGTAATTCTGCGTTGTGTTTTTGATTATTTGGAATAGGAAAAGCTCAGAGGCTGACAAACCCAGAGCATTTAAGGCTTTATATTTAAGCAATTTACAGTAGGTAATTTGTTGGCCAAAAAAGTGGAAAAGGGAAACAAAAAATTGAGTTGGAGGCTTCAGAAAGTTAGCATTTTACAGTGGCATAGACAGTACCAGCAGAATTCAGGAAACTCCTTTGAAGTTGTATAGATGAAGTTTGCATTTCAGTTTGGGGGCCTGAGTTTTACTATTTACATGTTGTCAAAAGTTTGACTTTAATTCATCTAAAATGTAAAAAATAATCATTGCATTAAAATCTTTTTATTTGCTGCTTTCAGAACCGCGTGTCTGGATCCAGTGAGGATTTTTATATCGAGCTTTCACCTGGAACATATGCCATCACTGCCAGTGTGGCAGAGTCACAGCAGCAGACTCAGCTGGTCAGTGTTAAAGCTGGGGAGAGTGTCAACCTCACCTTTGACCTCTGACCCCTCAGCTGACCAAACCTGTCACCCTTTAATAACAACTGACCATTGCACATGCTCTTTGTTTCTTGCTTCTTGTATATAGATTTTTGCATTAAGAGTTTACATTTTATTTTACTGTAATGCACTTAAACACATTCTTACCTGCACTAAGACCACATCATTGTATTGAAATAAAATATTTTTGTAATCAGTTTTTTGTTTGGCTCTTCAACATGCACTGTACATGAGTTTACACTGAGACAATATGTAAATATATTGGCATTGTTCTCAGAGAGACTGCAGTCCCACTGGTGGTCGAGGTTTGAAGCTGGTTGTGGACAAAATGTCTCTAATGTTTGCTCTTCTTCCTCTGGTGCCAGGAAGTGACTGAAACAGGGAGCTGTGATTTGGTGAGGCACTAATTTGTGGTTCAGGGATGCTGAAACTCACAGGTTGGGTTGTCCTCCGGGGACCAGCACTCCCTGCACAAAAAAAAAATTCCATCTGAGCTCATGCATATTGCACATATATCAGAACGCATACTGTGACCATTAAACGTGAGGGTAAAAGGACTGGAAATGCATTTGTTTACAATACATCAAAAATAACATGCATGTGTTCATGTGTGCCCACACTGTGTAGCAAGCAGCATCTGCTATAAAGGTAACAGAGAATAACATTTAGTCAAAATATGAAAAACATCATCGAAAGGATTTCAGGATCACTCTACACAGCACTTACTGGGGTCTCCAGTAAAACACCCAAAAAAGGCGAAGAGGATCGGATGTTTTTAAGATTGGATAAGAACAGACTAGCAGATGGAAATACACTGATTTATGAGTTTACTAACAAAAATTCAACCAGGTAACATAAGGTCAGGTACAGTGTCTTTTGAAATGTTTAATTTCATTCAGGGCAGGGATAGCTCAGTAGGTAATGTCATGATCAATGCGGTTCGAATCACTTAACGCTACCTGAGTACCCTGAGCAAGGTACGTCCTACACTGCTCCGTGCTTAGTGTGATGTTCATATAATCAAAGGAGATTTTGATCATAAACATTATTATTATTATAAACATGATGTCTTGTCATGATGTCTTCAATTTCAATATCTCCTGTCTTCTAACAGTAACACTCCAGTGTTCTCAGTAAATGTGTCATTAACCTTAAACACTGTAGGACCCATTTGTTTATGTGATATCTCCAGTGGAATCTACCTGTGATCTATTTTTTCACAAGGTTTCTTTTTGTTTCCAGTTTTCTTTTGAACTTCTTCAGAACTTATTAACTCAGTGTGTGTCTGATTCTCACCTGGCTGCCTGTGCTGTGGTTCTGGTCCAGTTCTTCTCCAGTATCTCCAGGGAGGACGCTGTTGTTTACTTCTTATCTTCAGTGAAGGAGAAGTTGATGCTCTAGTCTCATCATGGGAAAGAGATGAGGAGGAGGAGGAAGATGGCAACTCGGGATCACTCGTCCTCACATCTGCATCTCTGCGGTCCACCTGCTTGACTTGCTCTGTTTTATCAAGTTCATCTGATTTTCCAAAGCTAGCTCCAAGGCTGGGTGGAACTAAACAGGATGAACAGTAGCAAGAGGCACATGCTGAATGGCAGCAGTCGGTGCAGTACAGCTGGGGGGCACAAAGCCAGCTGCAGCACTGATTGTGAGTGACTGCTTGGAGCTCCCGTACTATTCTGGCATGACGAGAAGCAGAAATGGGCAAAAGCAGACTTTCAGGAAGCACATACACACAACTATTCCACATCAGCACCCGGAGGCGTCTAACACCGTTACCTACAGGAAGGAAAGGTGAGCCCTTTGAGTGGATTACAGATGGTGATCATGAACAGACATTGGTGATTTATCATATGAATATTTATCTTAGGAAACAAGTCTCCCGTTTGAAAACGGTCTCATTAGAATTATTGACTATAAAGAAAAATATCCTTGATTGTATCCACACCACTGAATGTCATATGATGATGTTATAATATAAAATATACGACTTCTGCCGTACCTCCATAACCATCTCTATGTTCTGTGGCTGCCACCACTTGACCTGGACCGTATCTTCTCAGATCTTGTTCCCATGGTGACAGGACAGCGTCGCCAGGAGCCAACCTGCATGTGCAACCTCTGCTGTCATTGACCATGTCAAGTGAACAAACGAGCTGGCGCTGGGAGGAGGCAATCTCAAACGTTGCGCTTTCTGCATGGTCAAAGTCAACCACCCAAATTCCACTGCAGCCCTAAAATTGGAAGACAGTCTTCAAATATTTACTCGTCCCTTTTTTAAAATTTGATTTTTAGTCCGTTAGCGTCTGACTTTTGGATAAGAGCAGTGACTCTGACACTAAAACTTTTTTTTTTTTACTTCGGCTCATCAGGTTATATTTTTATGATCAGTTTTTGTTGGATTGTACTGAAGCTGCGTCACAATAGATTAAATGCTCTATATTTATTCTGCTTTTCCTCTGAAGACCAGGAGCTTTCCCACCACTTTTTAAATGGGATGGCACAAGGAGAGCCTTGTGAGAGATTGGCGACCTTACCTAGATCTACTCCACCACTGACGCTGTGACAGCTGGGACAGATGGGAAAATTGGGAAAACACTGGGCACAATTTTTGGGCAAAGTGCTTATTAAAGCAGTCAGTCAATGAGAGCCCTGCTCAGTGCAGCTGATGTGCCCCTGTGCACTCATCCAGATGCTAATACATTAAAAGTGGTGTGGCTGAATACCCTTAAACTTAAAGTCAGCAAATACTGTAAATGTATAGTTTCATTTTTAAAACGATTGTGCTTTTGCAGGAGTAAATAACTGAATTAGCCCGTATTAGCTGTAGTAGAAACAATATTCAATGGTCATGTGTCACCTGTATTTGTTTTATGACAGTGCCCATGTAATAAAGGCCATCCCGCTCTCTCCTGGCCAGGACTCTGCATCCTGGGAAGAATTCTGGGCTGCTTAGGGTTTGACCAGACAGGATACAGGAGGTAACCGGAAGATTGGGATTACTCCGACTGCTCCTATAGTGTTAAATTGTTGTTAAAACAATGTTCAAAGTTTAAAAAGATTAAAAATTGTGCAACTAGACCTGAGCAGGGGTGAAGATATGTGGTGCAGCTGTGGTATTGTGACAGAGGTGGAGGGACAGCACCACTTGGCTGGATTGAAGCTTGGCAGTGATGGTTGGCTCTCAGCAACGTACAGAGGAATCACCTGACAGCAGTAATAGAACCACACATACTCAGACTCACAGTCACTGTGGGGCCTATTTTTTAGAACTACCGAGCAATTCTCAGTCTATACCTTCTCCAGCGTGCCATTCAAATCGAATGGAATCAGATAACAGCTCCCCCTTGTGGTCTGTGTGAAAGACTGCAGATAGTCCCTTGTGTTTCTGTCCAGTTTATTTCCTATATCTTGCAGGTAGAAAACGTTCACAGGCCTCCCAACTGCCAGTGCAGGAAGAGCTCTCAGCACGGCCTCTGGTTGATCAGGAAAGCCTGTGAAAAGAAGGTGGACGGCATGACAGGCAGGGTCGGTGAGAGCAATACTCAGAGCAGACAAGAGATCTCCGCCTGAGCTGCAGCTGATGGAGTGAATCCAGGACAGAGCCGTGTACACTGTGTCAGGAGCACAGGAGCACATGTGGCAGGACCAGCAGGTCACCTTCAAGGGAAAGAAAGACTCAGTAAATCTGAGGTTCTGCTCAAGCTTAAAAAAATGTCCTCAAAGTACTAAAAGCTCAGGGTGAGATTAAAAAAATGAAGAAAATGAAAGAATAAGAGTGATTAGTTATTTAAAAATCAAATCATATAAAGGTGAGGTAGTATACTATATGAGTTTACTCAATTTTGCACTTGACTGACTTCATGCACAGCTGTGATCAAAAGCCCTGTGTATGAATTCACTGGATCAAAAATCCAAAAGAAATTCAAACTAGTGCACCTGATTCTTGTTTTAAGTTAATAGTATGCTGTACAACCATTCTACCCTGGAAATGAGCATACAAAGAAATTATTAAAAGCCCCAAATTACCAGATCCCCCTCACCTTGCTTGAAAAGCTCATGATGTTAAAGAGAGAGTCCCTGTGAGACGCTTTATTCAGCAACGTCTGGATCAGCAGGTGTTTCACTGACCCCAGAACAGCTCTCATGTTCTCAGAGCTTTCCAGGACAAACGTGATGTTGCATCCCTGCTTTCCCAGGAGCAGTGGTATCAGTGCAGCCTCACATGTCACCATCTGTCCAGATGTCATAGTAACACTGTGGTAATGGGAAGGAATCACACAGTTTTCTTTTATTTTTTGCCTTTTTTGTAAACTGTAATAGTGAAAAGACAGTGAGAAAGGGCGAGGAATCACCTGAAAATCTTTGAACTATATTTAGGCCAAATGTAACATATTATCAAAAAGCACAAAACACATAACAATGAAAATATCTACATATCTTGTGAACATTTTTTAATCTTTATTTAGATTTTTTTTTGTTTTAGAACACACTTTACCAAATTTTAAACTGAGCACCTGCATCAATTTTTATGAAAAATAATCAGCACTTTTCTAAATGTATAGATAAATTAGACAGATTTATAGATAAATTACAGTTTTTTTTTAATGTTATGTTTTTAATAATTATTCCAATTAGTCATAATGCAAAGAGGCCAACTTTAGAACTGTCTATATTACTGGATCATATTGGAATAACTGATATACTAATGTGTACGTCTCTTTAATGTTGCAATAGGTGAAGATGGGACTCATTTAATTACTTTCATGTGTGACTATATATACTGAACATATACTGTATATATTGTATATATTGTATGTACTAACTTTATATTTTGCTGGGTAGTAGTTTTTCACATTTTAATATATATATTTTTAATATTATATATATCGTTTCTTATTTTATTGTACTTTGTAATATCACCCCAAATCTACAAATTCACCATACTATCAGATAAATGTAGTGGAATAAAAGCATGTAGTCTAATCAAATGTAAAGTTAGAGGACTTAAGTAAATCTACTTCCATCAAGTTGACTCAAATACGGAGAGAAACTTGAAACATTTCTTTCTATGTCCGCAAAAATAGCAAACACAGTTATTAACCTCTTTCAGTAAAGAAAGCAGCTACAAACATGAGTCACTACAATTGAAATATAACACATTTAAAACACAGATTACATTACCTACATTTTTTGTGTCGATCACAGTCAGCTGCAGACAACAACTTCAACCCATTGTTTATGTCGGTTTCCATGGTGTTCGAGCCTGAGCTGGCCCTCTTCATAACCACTGGAGGGCCTGTTTACCTGCCAGTCGGCAGGCCGGGTCACGCTACAGTTGCTATGGTACAGCTACACAAAAACAGCAGCTGTGAAAAATGACACTAATCTCTGCAGATGTGTCAGGACTTTTCTTCTCCTAACTCTATTTGATTTTTCCTCTAATTAACAACTCGAATTAGGTCACCTTCAGCTGGTCACACATTCATAAATGGCTCTCAGATAAAATGGCACTGATAAGATTTTCATGGTGCTACAGCTCATGTGAAAAAATGAGCAAAGGCACTAAAATGTCACCGTTCATTTGTTTATTCAGTGGTACACTTTTGCCTCCGTTGGGTGATAAAACCTATCACAAGTGTCACTACAATCCTGTAAACATTAAAAGGCAGTGACCTCAATGCAAATACATGATTCAACTAGAAAATACATTTACAACATTATCAAATATAGTAGAGAAACGTCTAATCTGTATTCAGTAGATTGTGCTGAGCTCCTAATCTACACAAACTAACAGTTGTTCTCCACGGCTGCAGAATACCATGTCTGGCAGCATAATACTAATTTGCTGGATATTACAAAGAGCTAAAAATCACAGTTATATCACAATCTTAGAGATTACAGCTTCTGTTAACTACCTGCACAGCATGTACTACTGTAGCGACTGCTAATACGAGACTCACACACTCCGGGCTAAAAGAACGCTACATGTTAACCTGCAGGTGCGAGCAGCTGCAGAGTGAGAACGGCTGCCTTAAAGGCTGCCAACGTTAAGATCAGTGAAGTCATTGTGGAGCATCAGGACTTCTAAACGCAGCAAGCAAACCGGCAAACAGAAACTGAAAGTGTGTGAAGGTAGAAATCTGAAGTTCTCCAATGAGGCATCTGGTTGTAGGAGTAAATGTTCCTATTGCTTTTGGTCAGTGTGGGTTTATTTGTGGGTAGGAAGATTAGTAACCCAGGTCTCTGAAGTCTGTGGAGCTGCAGAGACGAAAGTGGGGGGAGAAGAGGCAGATTTGGTTAGACTTAGGCTTTGCCAGCTTAATTAATAATTAAAGGTAAGCAAGGGTTAACATTAATGAAAGTCACCATTATTATGTTTTCCATATACTGCTACAATAATGAAAATGCAAAACTACTCCAGAAAGCAAAATGTGGTGCTTGAAATAAGCAGTGTATGGATATTTTTTTGCACTGGTTCTTTATGCGTGAAAAACTCCCAGCAATGCACAACTTTCTATAAGTAGTGGATTACACCCTAATTTAAAAATGAGAGTTTTGTGAAGGTTTTGAATGTTTGATTGCACCTCATGATATTAATTTGATAAACTGCATGATACCTTATTTTGAAAGGTATAAATATAATTTGCACAAGAAAAAAAATGTTTTTAAAGCTAAAAGATGAGAAAAACATCTTACCCTTCACTGAATTGCTTTTTGGCAAAATGAATCTGCTCCCTCACAGTTGTCCCAATCACCATGATCTGCTGTTCTGTATCGATTACACACTGCAAAAACAGAAATGTCAAAACATTACAGAACCGCGTTGGTTATAGTAGAGCCATTTTAGTTAGTGTAGTTAATCATCTAGCTTTTATCTTGTATCTGTTTACATCACTGTGTTGTTTCCCCTCCAGGATGGATGGTGGTGATGTATGGTGATGATGGATGGTGATGATGGATGGTGATGATGGATGGTGATGATGGATGGTGATGATGGATGGTGATGATGGATGGTGATGATGGATGGTGATGATGGATGGTGATGATGGATGGTGGTTGCAAAGCAGAAGATTTACCTTGAGTGTCTTTAAAGTCTTGCTGCCCAAGGACATGAGATGCTTGTTACTTTCTGAAAATAGATGTAATAGATGAACAGTAATATGATGACACCGCTTCATATAAAAGTGTTCTTATAATTTTCATTCAGGCAACGATTGTTGTGTTCCTTACCCACTATGGCAAATGAGCAAGTTATCCTGATTTGTCCGACGGTCAGGCCGAGCTCCTTGATGTGACCATCGATGCAGAGCCTGCGCTGAAATGGGAAGCCATCGGTCTCCATTTTGATCTCTTCGACCAGTTCTTTTAAACTGAAAGGGAAACAAAATAATTCAACAGTTCTCACCTCACATGCTGCAGATGTTTGCAGTACATACTTAGGAGACACTGAAAAATGAACTGGTGTCAGGAAAATGAAAAATTAGTGAAGACATCTCACCCAAATCTCTCCGCAGTCACAGAAGACATCAGATTCAACTTGCAACCTGTATCAATCAGCAAATTCACTTCCTGTCCTAAACACTGTATACACAGGGGAGGTGCATGTAAGATAGGAGAAATAAGAAAGAAAAAAATCCTTTTGACAAACAAGTCACGGATATTTTGTGCTTGAAAAGAATTTTTAAGTAGCCCAACTTCCACCCACCTTACAGGGCACGAGGATGAAGTCATCCTCCTCATCCTCCTGTGAATTTACATGGCTGTGGCTCAGACGAACCTCTCCATTGCTTGGTGTTACTCCACACATGTTTATCCTGCCTCTGCACAGCTTTGCCTCCAGTAGGCGCTTCTGGAGAATATTGTGTGGTTGCTACAACAGAGATTACAAACAACACAAACACGCCTACTGAATATATATCCTCAGTATTGTCGAAGCCTAAAATCAGATCTACAGTCTGAGCTAAAAATGCTATAATATAAAGACCATCTTTAAGCTCATGTATACAATTTAGAAAGTATTCTGTCGCCTAACTTTGACATATTTTTGTGTTATGGTTTCTTCACAGAATCCAGAGTCATCCATGTTTGGCTCATTGGTGATTCTAAATTGGCCCTTGGTGTGAATGTGGAAGCAAATTAAATAGCTGTCTGTCTCTTTAGCCCTGTGATGGACTGGCAGTCTCTCCAGAGTATACCTTGCCTCTCACCAGGTGGCAGCTGAGATGTGCTCCAGCCACCCTGCTAGAAGTGGTTAGGAAAATGGATAGACTGATAACAATATAGATTCAGGTTTTCACTTTAGAGTATAAATCATTGATAAATTTCTCTCTCTCTCTCACACACACACACACACACACACACACACACACACACACACACACACACACACACACACACACACACACACACACAGAAAGAGAGAGGCAATGGTCCTCCTCCCCATCACCTATATAATGTCTATATAATAATGGCCTTAGATATGAGGCTCACCCCCTGCTTAGAAGTCCCGAGTTTCTTCAGTCCATCCAAAGGAAGCAGATCAGCGGAGTCCTTATGGAGGAACTGGATCGCCTGTTTCAGCCTCCTCTGTTGCCTCAGAGTCGCTGCATCCAGGACCCCCTTTTCTCCGCGGTTCTCTGTCCGCATCCCTGTAAACATGATGGCGGGCGTGTGCTTGTGTTGCCCCGGCTCTCTGACTGCCTGCATACAACCGAGCCTAATGAGGAATCCCCGATGCGTCAAGTCCACATTAGGAGAGGAGACTCCCCCGTAACATGACAGGTAGTTAAGACAGCCCAAGTTGTAAAAATGAATCCTGCTGTGAACTTTCAAAATAAAACCCATTTTCCAAACGCTGCATAGCCCATTGCGCAATGAACGGATGGATGTTTTAATGCTGCATTACAGATTCATGAACTGCTCAACTCTGAGACCCCTGAAAAGTGGATTTACTTCGTTCTTCCACTAACACAACCCTGAATTTATATTTTTATTGTACAACCTTTAAAAACACTCAAAATATTTTTCTTTCTGTGTACAAAATGCTGAATTAAGAATATTTCAGTTAAAAGTAAGATTTCTTTTCCTTTGGCCGCTTAAGTGTGCCATGTCAGAAAAAGATTGAGAACTGCTACAATGCGAATCTGGTAAGCTATGTTCATTTGCTTCAGATAACTCAGACTACAGTCTATTAAAGTGCCTACAGCTCACTGTTTACAAAGACCAGCTGTACTGCATATGTCCGCGCCACAAGTTTATTTATTTATTTATTTATTGTGTTTCATATAAATGTTCAAGGAACATAAATGATTAGAAAACGGAAAAGACGATGGGCCAATAATTCACTGGAACAAAACAGATGCAAACATCAAAAAGTAAAAGAAACACTGTGGTGCACTGAATGTTTAATAATGACTGATAACGCTTGCACATAATCCACAATATGTTATATTCATGTATGCATTTCTTGGGTGTTTGCCAGCGCTTTAGTGGGATGACAAATTCTAGAACTTTCTGAATTCTCACCGGTTTTATTTTGACAGCAGCTTCCGGTCTCATTCAGTATGTTTGCGTGACTTTGCTTTTACTTGAGGCAGGTAGAACGAAAACAGGGAAACATACGTCACTTTGCTGCAGCGTGACTCCAATAACACGCTCTCACGTGGAGAAACCACTTGCACAAAATGTGAAGCTCTATGAGCAGCAGGCCTGTAAGAGTTAACTCACGTTTTGCAAAACAAAGGCTTTTTGGTGAGGGTTGTAACAGGAAATAAAACTTTTTATAAAATCCCTTTTTTTCTCAATTCTATTTTTAATAACATTTTATTGTTTGTTAGAAAATATGAATCACTAAAAAGAAAGCATGAGCACTGGGCTACAGCAAATAATTCAAAAATATTCTCTCTATTCAAATGGGGGGGAAATGTATATATATGACAGCGCTGTCCAAATGTTCTTTCAGTGAGCAGCTCACCCTTGCTTTCACCAAAAAGGAGGGATATCCACAAAGCCATCTCCTCTCTTATTTTGCCATCACTGTCATTTGCATCTGAGCAGGAGACAGTGGTTTATGCTCCCTAACAGGACAGACTGGTATTCCTGACATTTAATTCATTTCAATTCAATAGACGATGAAGCGTTCCCTTCGTGTTTGTTCTGTTTCGTGTCTCTGAGGTTATAAGTGTTGGTTTCAGATAAGAAGGCTCAAAACTGTCCCAAGCTGGTTGTGTTTGAAACCTAAATATTGACATCAGTTGGAGCTGCTACATTTACATCATGCAGGTAGTTGTTTACTTAATTAAAAGCAATAATACAAGACTAACAAAATCATTTCTCATTACAAATCCATATTTTTGCTCTGAGGTCAAAGTTTATAATGTGAAAAAATGTACTGAAAGTGTAAAAAAAAGTCTTACAGATAATTAAATAATTATTTTCTGTGCATGTGTGTAATTAACATTTAGTTTTTCTCCATTCCATAGCAATCACTTTAAACAGTTTGTTTACTTTATTATTTTATCTTTTTAATTAATTTTACTAGTTTATTTTCTTTTTTCAGTATGACATATAGATCAGTATTATCATTGTCATATTTGGATTTTTTTAAAACTTTAATTGCATCTTTGTCAGGGTCAAACTCAAGGTTGTCAAACATTCCAACATCCCAAACCTGTCCCACCAAAGTGTCCAACGCGGCCCGCTGTATGACTTTGCAAAGTGTGAAAACTGTAGCCAAGTCACTTTAAAAGTATTTCTAGATTTTTACAAAGTTATGATTCATGTGAACATTTGGTGCCTTTCCTCCTGTGATCTTTAAATGAAATGAAAGTCTTCTTCTTTTAACGAATGAAAATGTAATGATAGTAGACTCAATGAATGTCAAAGAACTGAGATGTATTTTTGAAAATTGATTTTTCTTTAGATATCCAATGCCAATTATCTATTTTGGTAAACAGTCCTGTCATCTAGAAGACTTGGGAAGGCAAAGGATATCTGTCAGTGTGGCTTATGGTTAAACATTTTTAAAATCTTAGTTACCTATACCAGGTGAACTTTCATTCAGATGTACTTCTTTACATTTAATGAAATGATAACATTTGATGGGATTTTCTTATGCAATGACGTTATTAATCTGCTCAACTTCAGATCTGATCGGGCAGTATCTGATCCATGGAATACAAATAGACAACCCTGAGGTGAATCCTGCATTTCTACAGTCATTCTCGCCTCATTGAGGACTACATCTCTACGTCTTTTCAGCTTCTTTTGTAGGTGTTCATGAGGTGAAATTGTATCTGCAACTTTTAAAAGATGATTATCTGATGTCCTGGGTGTAGTTTGTAGTGTCATTTTATCCCAGCGAGCCTCTTTTCACTGCATTGCCCACATTCCCCCTTTTTTTACCCACACGACCTTGTTTTCAACATGGATGCCGAAAATTCTTCCACCACAGCGCAGTTTATGTCGCTGGCGAACCCATTTAACCACATTTTGTGTCGCACGGTGGCTCGGAATCTACAATGTCGGCTGACTATCGTCTACCTTTCATGCTTAAATAATTATTTTGTAACGACGTAGCAGCGCATTTACAGTCAAACTGCCGAGACAATGCGAAAAAGGACGCGGAATGGCGTCTGCCAGGGGCCCGGGAGGCTGAATACCAGCAGTATAGACTCGAATGAACGTAACAGGCACACGCCTAACCCAATAAGAGCGGGCTTTGCGAGTCGGTGACCAATCCCTCAATAGAGAATGGGCGGGACAACACGGTAAGGATAGTTCTGTCATACATGTTCCCGGGTTGTGAACATCGCCGACCGTTTCCTGCACTGTTGCATGGTGGTCGAACAGGAGGAATTGTTGGAAATTTTTCGGAGGTTAGTATATAAATTGGTTTTTACCCAGTGTGCATTATTCCCTCAGCCATCTCTGTGAGAGGGAGTGACAGGTTGCGGTGGGGATTCAGTCCAAGAATGGGAGACGGCTGTTTAATCATAAAATAAAATTGACACCCACCGAGCCAAAATGCTTATGTTATCATTAATTAGCTCGCGGATTCCTCGCTCTTGTTTTCCAACTGCGTCGCTCGTTAGTCAAACGGGAAGCTGTGTGGCGTGAGATAGCTAGCCCTCCATTTGTCATTCCAGAGCCCTTTTAGACTTCACAAAATCATTTAGAAGTCTCTGTGATCTCGATAACCGCAGTCATCGAGAAACAGTTCGCCAACAACCGCTGTGAAAGTCGTGACAGCGCTGCTTGTCATAGTTAGCAATGTTGTTAGCCTACGAAGCGGCTATCAAGCTTACTCCATTACGGCATGTTTCTGTGGCTGTAGTCATCAACTCAGCGTTTAGACACGCTGTCAGTGTGATAACTGAATCCTGGGATACCAAAGCCGGTTAAATACACTTGTTTGATATACAACAGACTTGACTAATGTGGCAAGTCATAGTTGTGCTACATCGTAAGTAGCTAGCTCCAAGTATTGAGTCCAAATCAACAAGCGCGTTGACTTGGACCAAAAGCAAGTAATGTTGACGTTAAGTTATTGATAAGACACTAGTAAAAGATTGAATTACCAAATGTGAGCTGAGCAGAGCTGTTAGACTGGTTTATTATAATTTAATAATAAACTATTATAATAAGTGATGTTATGTTTATGACTTGAACTTGAAAACAGAGCAAGTCAGAAGAACGCTATAACGAATCTTAATATGCTTCTTCTTTCTGCGTTTAATATCCACAATATGTCTGATTAGGTCACCAGAGTTGTAGGGATTTCTTGACATTTTTATTTTGTATTTGTGTTAGATTTTCTGTTCATTTAACTTCCAGAGTTAGTTTGTTCGTTTCGGTTCACTTTTTGTTAGAGATGTTGTAATATATCAGCTGAACAATGTTATCAACCAGTATCGGCCTTATTGACTGATATCACCTATTGGCAAACACATGACATTTACAGATGTTTATCTTTTATGCAACATAAATTTTCCACTTAATAAATGTTAAAAGGTGTGATGAAGATTTGAAATTTTGCTTATTTTTTATGACGATAAAAGAAACAAAATATATGAGATTACTTTGTTTCCTTGGTACAAAAAAGAAAATGAATAAAACAATGCAAACACCTAACACTAGTATCAATTCCATTGAGTCAATAGAAATAGATTAACTATGAAGCCTGATATGAAGCAGGTTGTTACATTGGCTCCAATTTCACAAGTGTTGTATCTTTAGTTTGAATGAGGGGTATTTGTCTGGGGCTGAGCTTAGAATAAGAAATATATGTAGCAGACATTTCATAAACAAACTTGACTCACTTTGCAGGTAAATATGTGCTAATGTTGTTTGTGTTCACACATGTTACCATGCTGAAACTGGCAAAACAAAAAATTTCATGTAATGCAGAAAATCTCAAGTTAATTTTTGTTTATAAAAAAATCTATTTTTGTTTTACTCTTTCACTTAACTTATTTTGTTCCACACTTAGGTTAGGTTATTCTAGTAAATCAAAACTAAGTTATAACACATTATTTCTATGCAGTTGTATGGTTGTTTGCCAGTTTGTTGGTTGTATTTACTGAGTATGTTTAGACACTGAAAAAAACATTTATATATGTATGTATTGCACATATTGGAGGAATAGCGATGATTTGAGGGGCACTGCAACAGCAACAACATTAAGTAAGATTCTTAATGGTTACATCCAGTTATCAAATAACCGCACAGTATCTGCATTTCCAGTGCCCGTGTCAGTATGCATTTCATTTGAGTGTCTTGCCTGTTTCCCCTGCAGCAGCTAAAGCATGCTCTTGGCCCAGATAAACCGGGACTCCCAGGGAATGGCAGAGTTTCATGATGCAGATGGGCAGCCGGTCACACTCTGTCTAGCAGAGGCTGTGACAGTGGGAGGTGAGCCTTTAAACTTTCTATTGTTACAAAAAATTTACTGACATCACTGCAGAACTGTACATCTAATCACATTTGAATTTCAGTCCCAGTTTTGGTTGAGGATGGCAAAACTGTGTCCAGAAGTAATCTGGTATTAGCTGGGACAAAGGGCATCACATCGCAGTCCTGTTGTTTCATTTTGTGACGATCTACTCCATTACTCCTTAAACTAAAAGTCTATGTTTTACTACTCTCTTATTTCCCAGATGCAGATCAGATGGAGAGTATGGACACAGTGAGTCTGCAGGCTGTTACACTTGCGGATGGATCCACTGCATATATCCAGCATGACACCAAAGGTTCCTTTTCAGATGGACAGATTATGGACGGCCAAGTTATCCAGCTGGAGGATGGCTCTGCTGCCTATGTTCAGCATGTGCCCATGCCTAAAGCGGGTAAATAAAATGGAAATATTGTAATACCAATAGCAGAGTAGAGCTTATTCTTTGTGTACTGTGTTTGTGGCACAGTGCAAGGCTGTAATTTAAATGCATGTCATCTATGTAACAAAAGCTCACTAGTAGCTAACCAAGAACACACTAATGAAGAAGTGAATGTGAGTAATGTTTATTTTTAATGCACTTTTAGGGGGGGGCAGTTTACAGCTTGAAGATGGACAGGCTGTTCAGTTAGAAGACGGAACCACTGCCTATATTCACACACCCAAAGGTAAATAGCACCTAATCAAACTGAATTGAATTTTAAGCATCTTTCATCTATTTAGTTGATTATTTTAATGTTTCATTGCATCAGTAAAAGAAAATAGTCAAAAGACATCTGCTTATCCTTTATTATATTCCCTTCCTATAAACTCTTTTTTTATAAATTTATTTGCAGAGTTTGGCTAAGCTGCAAGTTCACAGACATTAAAAATGTTCATGTGCATGTGTATCTTCTTTTTTAAAAACCAGTCTATTCATGGGACAACACGGTTACATAAAAATGGTTACATAAATGTTGGTGTTGGACTAGAAAATGTACAAAACATTTATAAATAAAAACTCTTAAGGTGAAGGATTTCACCACAAAGAAGCATTAAGTTTGGGTCCAGACATGCAGGAAACTATTATTTCCCTCCCCAAACTTTTTGATTTTTACTGGAACAAAGCTCAGTTTCATCAGTGAGTTTCAGTTTCTGCGTCCTTCTCCTAATTTCTGTGCAGAAACATATGATCAGGGTGGCCTGCAGGAGGTACAGCTGGAGGATGGGAGCACCGCCTACATTCAGCACACTGTGCACATGCCCCAGTCCAACACCATCCTGGCAATCCAGGCTGATGGCACCATCGCAGACCTGCAGGCAGAGGCGGCAGCTATTGACCCAGAGACCATCAGCGTGCTAGAACAGTATACCACTAAGGTACGTGTGCTTTGTCTTTGTACTGGTGTGGTACCAACTCTACAGTGTGTGTGTGTGTGTGTGTGTGTGTGTGTGTGTGTGTGTGTGTGTGTGTGTGTGTGTGTGTGTGTGTGTGTGTGTGTGTGTGTGTGTGTGTGTGTTTTGACACAGAATTATGACAGCGAGAAAGTGGTGGGGTATGCAGTATAAGTGACAGGTGGATTCAAGGATGGGGGTGGGGTGGTACCATCTGAGGCCCTTCCTGTTTGGAAAGGTGATGGTCACGCAGAAGGCTCTGTGGTCTGTGATGTTTACAGATGACACTATGATCTGTAATGAGAGTAGGGAGCAGGTGGAAGAGCTCAGAGAGGTGGAGTGCACTGGAGAGAAGAGGAATGAATGTCAGTAGAAGCGAGACAGAACACGTGTGTGAGTAAGAGGCAGACAGGTGTAACAGTGAGGATGCAAAGAGGAATATTGATATGAGCTTGCAACGTAGTGGCATTTTATCATGTCACACAAAATTTTTAGGTAAAAGAAAATCACTAACACCATTGTGTTCTGCGCACATGTAATTGGCTTGTGTAAAAAGTTATTATGTTGTTATCTTGGCAAGATGGTCACTTGTGAATATGAGATTAAATATTATCTTATTCATAGGCTTTATAAATTTGCCTGTTTTGAATGTTCCATTTTTGCTGTAATAATGGTTTATCAATTTTAAATATTATAGTTTCATATTTAATATCCCTTGGTTTAATATATTTATGATCATCCAATAGATATTAAAATACCCTTTCTTTTCCCTCAAAGGTGGAGAATATAGAGAACCCCCTGGGGACCTTTGGCAGAGTTGAAGCAGACAATGGTGTCCACATGCGGGTAATGTTTCTTTTTATTTATTTCTCCTTTTTTTTTTCTCTTTACGTTAAGTCTAACATTGGATACATAATTGTGCCTTGTCTTTCAGATTGTGTTACAGGGACAAGACAACAGGCCAGGAAGGGTCTCAAATGTTGGGGAAAAGTCCTTTCGCTGTGAATATGAAGGCTGTGGAAAGCTGTACACCACTGCCCACCATCTTAAGGTAAGTGTGGGTGCTTTGTTTTTCTAAAAAGTTTTTTTTTTGCCTCCTCAAGTGTAGATTATTTAAAGATAACATTTTGTAAGATTTTGCCATTTACTGAAATGCAATGCTTTACAGTTTTGTTTGTGTCCTGCAGGTACATGAGCGTTCCCACACTGGAGACAAACCGTACATCTGTGACTATCCCAACTGTGGAAAGAAGTTTGCAACAGGTAGCAACAGATAATATAATTTTACAAGTTGACTCATGGCTAATTTCTTTTATTTTTGTTGCCAAATTAAAAAAATTTTAAACCCTTGATTAAAATCTCATTATCACCATAGTGATGTTGACAATTGAACTAGTCAGGTTATTACTGTGTAAGTTTTTTTTTCCTTTTAATGAAGGCTGTAATTGAGTGGGATTTAATTTATTTGCAAAAAATAAATTTTTTGTTTATCAAATGACTTGAAATGTGTGGAAAATGCAGACTCTTCAGTAAAGCACCCCAGACAAACTGCCTTAATTACCACTTGTAAACACAAGTTTAGTCAACCCCATTCAATTAAATTCTATTATTTTTATAGAGCACCAAATCACAACAACAGTTGCCTGTTATGTTATGTTATATTGTAATATAAAACAGTATATTGAAAGAGATCCCCAAAGGTCTGTTTTGAGCTGGAAAAAACTCTTGCTGTTAAATGTAAGACCATATCTGAGATCAGTATAAATATGGAATAGGCTGCTTGTAGTTATGGAATAATAATTTAGCTGAATGTCAAATTGTGTGATTCTTTAAGGCTATGGACTGAAGAGTCACTCGCGCACACACACAGGGGAGAAGCCATACAGATGTCAGGAGTTAAACTGCTGCAAGTCCTTCAAAACTTCTGGAGACCTTCAAAAGCACACAAGGACACATACAGGTAAACAACCACACCCAGAAACTCACTGACAAGTCACAATGTTGTTGCAACACTCAATAAGCCTGATAAGGTTTGTAAACAAACCCAGGAGATTAACTGTTGTTTGCTACTGCTGGTAAAAGCTATATTACTTCAGGGCTGTTAATACAGAAGGGGCTGTTTAACGAGTGTTTGGAATCAAAATGGATTGAACTATCTAGCCACACAGCACTGTCTTTTTTTAAACAAACAACACATGGTGGTGAAGAGCTAGGATTGGCTGAACAACTTGAGGGGGTTGTGTCAAGTTGTTCAGCCAATGCTGAACAACAGATGAGGGGAGCTGAAATTTTTCAAAGCCACCATAGTGCTTCAGGAGCACAGGCACATGGTCATCACGAGAAGCATGACGCCAAGTTCCTCCTGCTTGTTTTTTAAAACACAGCAGACATTTTGCAGTTGGAATCACACTGGTTATTTATAAAGGCCTGAAGGCTACTTTCATACCAGCATTAGTCATGTTAAACAGCTGCTTACAGTGTTGTGTCCTATTTCTGTCAGGTTTACAATTCTATAGATTTCAAGCTGCAGCGTTGACATACTTCATGTTTTGCAGGAGAGAAGCCTTTTAAATGCCCAGTTGAAGGCTGCGGCAGGTCATTTACCACCTCCAATATCCGTAAAGTTCACATCCGAACACACACCGGAGAACGGCCATACTACTGCTCTGAACCAAGCTGTGGACGGTCATTTGCCAGTGCCACTAACTACAAGAATCATATGCGAATTCACACTGGTGAGTCTTTGGTATTTTATAATGACTCAGCTTGCTGAGTCGTTATGAGTCACTAAGTGCTCTCCAGTTGAACCCCTGGATCTCAGCACAGTTTTGTTTTTTTGTTTTTTTCCACAGAAGCTGTGCAAAAAGCTTTTAAGCTGTTAATTGATAAAGTTTCAAGATAGCTTAAATCATCATGTCTAACACTGAAGTTTGAAAAACTCTGTTTTACTAGGAAGAACAAACAAACATTATTTCTATATATTTTTAAAACTATCTAGAATATCTATAGAATATCTAGCTTTTTAGTCTTTTTGTGGAGATTTAATCCTTTTACTGGTCTTCTATATAGGATATGTATTTGGATTTCACTGTTCACTGTTCTTCACTACATTGTGATCTTACATATAAAGAAAACGTGATGTAAAAGTAAAGCATATATTAATTCTTGAGTGCTGAAACAACACACCAATAAAGATGGGGGTCTTCACTTCTCTTGCAGTTTAATAAATGAAGTCAAATGCTCATTGTCTTACTATTTTTTCCACTCCAGGTGAGAAGCCGTATGTGTGCACAGTGCCTGGGTGTGAAAAACGCTTCACAGAATACTCCAGCCTTTACAAACACCATGTTGTTCATACGCCCTGTAAACCTTACAACTGCAATCATTGTGGGAAAACCTACAAGCAGATTTCCACACTTGCCATGCACAAAAGAACAGCGCACAACGACACCGAGCCCATCGAAGAGGAGCAGGAAGCCTACTTTGAACCCCCAACAGGTCAGTAAAATGTAACGAAACAGAACGAATATTTTAAATGTTTTTTCATCATCATCATCTTTATTTCTAAAGCACTTTAACAACAACTACAGCTGACACAAAGTGCTGTACATTAGAACGAAATAATACAATCACATAAGATATAAATAAAAGCCAAAAAAACCCCAATAATAATAATTAATTTGTTAGTTAATAAATTATTTAATTAAAAGAGAAACGAAGTCTCACTACGGTCAAAAGCCAAAGAATAAAAATGGGTTTTAACGTGTGTTTTAAAAGTGGACAGTGAAGGGGCCTCTCTTTTTTGATAAGTCTGTGAGGGATGTAGGAATTTAGAATGGAAACAGATGTTAACAATAGTTCAGATAAAACTGTCTATTTATTAACTTACAAAATTCTAATGAATCCTTAATGTCAATTCAGATGCCATCGATGACCCCAATGTGAGCTACACGACAGCTGTAGTGGAGGCAGATGACTCCGGATCAGAGCCGGTTCCAGTGGAAAGCTCCGACATGGTTGGTCCGCAGCATGTTGCCCTGGTAACACAGGAAGATGGAACACAACAACAGGTAAGAGAATACAACGTCATCATGACTATAAACATATTGCAAATAACTTTTTTTTTTTTAAGAAGCGAGGATGCTCATCATATACCATATGTGAAGCAAACGCCTCAGAAATCCCTTAAAACTACATTCATTATAATGGTCACCAGTGGCAATAGCCGTGACTGCAAAATGACATCTGATCCCTGAAAACTATATAGGGAAAGCGACCTTCTGCCCTGACTTTTGTAAACATTTTCCTAATGAGTTTGTGGGATCAGTCACCAATGTCAGGTCATGTTAAAAAAATATACATATATATATATTTTTTTTTTCTACAAGTCAGGAAGGAGGGAAGCCCAGGATGGTAATTGGCTAACAACCAGTAATTGACAAATGGTTAGACGATGAGCAGACTGACCTCTCACTCTTTACGTTCTGTGTCAAATGACCAAAACAGCTCAAAACAGTTCAAAAGAAACATGTATAGCATTTCAAATGGTAGAAGAAATATAATTTACATATTAATGGTGCGAAGGTTGGATGATAACTGCAGCAGAGATTTTGTGAATATTAAAATGAACATATAGCACATATAGGAAGCTGAGATTTCTGTAAGAGTAGCATTTAAATTCATTTCAGGTTGTTCCTGTTTTAACTTTGTACTTTTCTTGCATATGCTTTTTCAAGTGACATCAAGTATCAAGTGGCAGCTGCAAAGTCTCCTGACTGTTTGTCTACTATTGAAAAGACGATTTCTAATCTCAGTGGGACTTTGACCTGGCTAAAGGATGCAATCTGAAGTTGTCAGAGTGTAGTTCAGACTCAATGTTCTTTTCTCTTTCAGGTCAGTATCTCCGAGGCAGACCTTCAAGCTATGGGTGGCACAATTACCATGGTAACCCAAGAAGGCACAACCATAACTATCCCAGCCCATGAGCTGGCAACTCAGGGTGCTCACTCAGTCACCATGGTAACAACAGATGGCTCAGATGAACAGGTAAACAACTCTCATAGCTCAGTAGACTGCACTCAGAATAATGTGAAGGGCTTTTTTTCTATTTAGAAGGCTTCAGTGTGGCATTGTATTCAGCTTAAATAACTGAGCTGAAAATCAAGTCTATATATTATAAAAGTAACTTAAGAAAGATCAGTTGCTTTTATTTTTAGTATTTTTATATTTTTTAAAATCAGGTTTTCAATTTTAATTTATTATTTATTCCGTTTTCTGGTAAACTTCCATGATGGAATCAGATGTGTTTTTAAAAATATATTTGTGGCTCAAAAATTAAGCTGTAATTTAAGTACAGCGTTTTTGTCGCCCCCAGGTGGCCATCATGACACCTGACATGGCTTCATTCCAAACTGTGGAGGAGGCAGGTTACAGCCAAGAGCAAGATGATATTCATCCTGTCACATTACTGGCCACATCCAACGGCACACACATCGCTGTACAGGTTGGTAAAGATCATCAGAGGGACCGAGTTCCAGTCATTAAATGTATTTAGTTCACTTTAGGAAGAAGATAAAGGAAAAATTTGGAAAATGTTACATCTTTAAGTCTGGTTGGAACAGGCTCTGCAGTACAGAGGCCCCACCCTGAAAATATATTTGCCTAAAGGCTTTTGTAGGCTTTAGGAGTGGTAGGTGTGCTGTTGACCTCTTACTGCAGGGGTGTCAAATTCAAATACACAGTGGGCCAAAATTCAAAACTAGAACAAAGTCGCGGGCTAACATTAATATTTATTGAAAAAAAAAAAATTCCTCCATATATATGAATGAATCTTTTCTTATTGACTCAAATAAGTTTTGCTGGAAAACTGAATATGGAACAAGCAAAGCTTAATACTAAACAATATATATATTAGCTGTATAATACCAGTAGGCCAGCTCTAATAGTAATTTGGTATGGCTTCGCGGGCCAAATGTAATTAGGCTGCGGGCCAAATTTGGCCCGCGGGCCAGAGTTTGACACCTATGTCTTACTGGTTCAGTCAATTCGGGATCAAAACAAACCTTAGTATGGATGTTATTCAAATTCATGGTGACTGCTAACTTGTTATGCAAAAAAGAAAACCAGCGCTGTAAATAATTGTTTGTTTTTCATTGACACACAATCTTATTATGGAAAGTAAAGGGTTTGGGGGTTTTTTTTCTCTAAATGCCTCTACATATAGGAGAATGATTTATTTGTTAAAGTGCAGATGTTATCTTTATGTTTATCTAATAAATTCACTAACATTTATCCACTTAAAATACCTTTTTTTTAGCTATGTATTAGAGTATCATGCTTAATTTACTATCAAGGCCAAACCCTTAAGGGTATTATAATTACATCAAAGGGCTAACAACCTTTTTATTTCCCTCCGCTGTCTTTATTTAACAAATTGCACTGTTTCTGTTATGTTAATGATTTAGCAAAGGCTTATTTTGCATCTTTTCCGTCATGTGACAGTCATCCTCCAGCAGCCTGTTGGGCAATGGTGGTGGTATTGTTTTTGAGAGGGTTGGGAGTATGAATGCATTCACTTCCATATGTGTTTAGACATTGACACAACTTTTATTTTAGCTCCTTTATTTAAGTTGAAATTAAAGTGCTATCTCTCTGAAGTACTTTGAAGGATATTCATGCTCAAGGGATTACAGCACTTTAATATGTGCGCCTTTATTTTGAAGGGACCAAAACCGTTGTATGTGCTAATTCTAGTACTGCTCACCTGTGGTCGTCAAAATTTCAATATTGTTTGCATTGTTTTCCTCTCTCTTTTTTATAGCTAAGTGATCAGCCTTCGCTGGAGGAAGCCATCAGAATAGCATCAAGAATACAGCAAGGAGAGTCACCAGGCCTGGATGATTGATCGATAAGGACAGTGATTATGAATTAAGACTAATTTCAAATGGACTATGTCAGTGGGAGAAATCATGAGTCTTCCTCAATGTTTTTCCACAAAAGAATTTAGCTTTTATGTGTACATAGAATTTTGATAACTGGAGTTCTGGTGTGCTATTTTGTCCCTCTACATAAAATGTGAGAGGATGGGGGGGGAGGGGGGGCTTTCTAATGTTTATGGTGCACAGTACTGCAGTGTACAGCTAATGCTATTTCTAATAAAAAAAACAAACAAAAAAGTGTGATTGTGTGACTGCAGTTGATTTTCAACACCCACGTGCTTATTAACTTTGTCTCCTTTCAACCTTGCTCCATTTAGAAGGTAAAAATACCTAGAGGACAAAGGGAAACTGTATAACACAAAATTTTTATAAAAGATTACAGAAAGATATGAATGACAAGCACAATAAAAAAAGATCCAGAATAGTTAAAAAGAGCATTGTGCAAACACATTACAGTACATGGAAAACTTTTTCAACTACCCTGAGGAATGGAGAAGAAGTGTACTGGTACTGATTTTCAAAGAGCAGAACTGTAGTAACTACACGGGAATAAAGTTGAACCATACCATGAAGATGTGTGAAAAAAATGTTAGGCTTCATTCTGAGAAAGCACAATATAGATGTGTTGTTTGCTTCCAGACTGTTGATGGACCCTAGGTCAGAAAGAGTTTCACTGTGTCTTTGTGGATGTAGATAAAGCAGACAATAGGGTGCCAAGAGAGAAACTGGTACTGCATGAATAAGTTGGGAATGAGATTTTTGCACGAAATCTTCTTTTTAGCCACATTTTTTTTAAATCTAGTGTGTTTTAGGCGTCTCCCATACTCCGTTGATGCATTTTGCACCATTTCAACATCTTTGTGTACAAAATCTGCCATAAAATCCTCATACCAAACAATATTTTTTCTGCTTTTTTTCATAAATCGCTTAATCAACTTGAGCCCTTTTCAAAATGATTAAACATTAATTTATTTTCAAAAATGTAAACTTAATGACAGTTTCAGATATTTGAATTATTAAGCATTTATTGAAAAAACTTTGTCAATAAACTTACTAACTACTATAAACATACTAACTCGCATAACTTGTATATAACGGGTGGGTGTTTATGTTAATGTTTACTTGATCTTTATCTATCGCGGCGTCTTTGATCTTTCCGCCTGAATAAATTGTCCTTAATGGTCGCGTCTCGGTCAGCGTGTAAAGGCACGCGTTCGCGCCAGATTGTTGCTTTGCTATTCATGACGTAACGTCTCCCGAAACCGCACTGGAACGCCCATCTTTCAAAATTTAGGGACGAGATGTGATTGGCTGCGCATGGCATGTGACCAACGGTCGCGGGAAGTCCTTTCCCACGCGCGTGATAGGAAGGAGTTGGTAGTTGACTCATTCAAACTTTTTGTAAACATTGGAATGGTTTAATTGTGGAAAGACGTGTTTCTCTGTCAGTCAGCCGTCAAGAAGGTAGTGACGGACACTCACACCCGTCGGGTGGGGGCTTTATTTTTCGGAATTAATTCAATATCAGCTCAACTTCGGACGTTGTTCTCGGGGCCATTTTTAGCGTTGGATGGGCGTGTGAGATTCAGCAAACACGTTAACTTTGTAGGCGAAGCTTCTGAAGGTAAAAGTCGTTCTTTTCAGGCTTTTGGATCAGTACCTTTAATTTGAGGCAACTAGAAGTGTTGTATCTCATTAAAAAAAACGTCATTTCAGCAGTGCTGTGGATCCGCCGCGTGCTTTTCAGTTTTTGGGTTTTTTGTTTTTTTTACGGCGTCAACGAAGCCGGGTTTTAAATCCTGAAAATGTCGAGCTACAGCCGCCATCGGCACGGATCTCCTTCTCCCAAAAGTCTGCCAATCCGTCAGAAATTACAGTTCACATGCAGCGACGGAGAGGACGACATCATCGAGGACATCAATAACAGCACAGGGGGAGAGTCTGGCTTCACGGAGATGGATTCCCCGATGCCAGTGCGACGGATCATCGCCGATAAATGCCTGGACGGGAGCAGCAGCCCCCTGAATCAGTCCGGTGGGGACGAAGACGTGGAGCTATGGGACGAGGAGGAGAGTTTTGGATCCCCAACTCACCTGCAGTCACCCAGCAGTGTTATATTTGCCAACTGTTCGCCATCCCCTCGGAAAAACTCTCGGCTGTTTAGAGGGTCTCCCTGTCGTCCCGGATCTCCGGACGACGGGGGATCCAGCTCCCCGATCCCGGACTGTCCAGACACACCCCCGCACAAAACCTTCAAGAAACTGCGGCTTTTTGACACACCGCACACACCAAAGGTAAATGTAATTTAATTTTTGAGACATTATTCATAATCAGACTCTTGCAAAACCGAACATTTGAGTGCACTTTCTTGTCTTGTCTCTGTAGTTTAGCTTACTGCTTCGATCGTTTCTCTGTCTTTTCGGGCCTAAAAGTGGAAAGAGATCAGGCCTTTTAGCAAACACACTGATTCAAATTTTTGAACTTCTGGAGAGTCCGTTAATCACCCACTGACCCACTTAATGTATAACTGTACTTATTGCATAACGTTATAATCATCCACACAGTTGTATGTCTGGGCATGTCTATCAACGAGTGAGCATTTAATTTAAAGTACCTTTACATTATAAATACCAGTTATTGTTCTTAGCTTATTTTATGCGCATATTGGTTGAAACAGATGGTTTTTTGGTGTTTTTAGTCCTTCTGCTCTGTTATTCTCTCATCTCTAATACTGACTTTTGCAGAGTTTATTGTCCAGAGCTAGAAGCTCAGGCCCGGGGTCCTCCAGCAGGAGAGTTTCCTTATTCAAGAAAGTGGACGTTTCAGGAAAGTCACTTATTGACAGTGGCAAGAGACAGCAGACCCCCCTGGTCAACTTTAACCCCTTCACCCCTGACTCCCTCCTCATTCAGTCTGCCACACAGCAGAGAATCAACAGAAAGCGAGCACACTGGAATGAGTAAGCTCATAACTTTATATTTTGCATCTTTAGATCAGTCCTCAAAAAGCGCGTGTTACACGTCATTGTACTTGAAATGTGGCTGTTGGAGTCGATAAACTGCTGTCAATGATTTTGTTCCAGATTTCCCAGCCATAACAGTTAGTCTTTAATTACCTTAATGTTAATACAGCTATGCAACAATCGTTAAACACACAATGTAGTAGCCGATTTTGTAGACCTGTATTAAACTTTACCTGTTTCCTTCAGCACTTTCAGAATATCTAAACATTTGGCAGTATAAGACCCGAGGTTTACCACGACCTCACTGAACTCTGCCATGTGCTCTTGAAGTCCTCAGTGCTGCCCCCTGCTGTACAGAATGCTAACCCACATTATTCTTTATCTTTACACTTGTAGCTCCTGTGGAGAAGACATGGAGGCGAGTGACGGTGAAGGAGAGGAGGAAGTGGTGCCACCATCTAAGGTATTTAGATGTTCTTGTCATTTCTAGTCAGATTCAGTGCCTCTATTTTATTGTTGGGGTGTGTTGCTGGCACTGCAAACCAGAAAAGTTTTCTTTATTCTGTCTGGGTGTGAATAGTGTTTTCTAGGAGTCTGAGAGATTTGAGGTTTTATAAATGACTAAATTGTCATATATTGAAGCCTTCAGTCACCAGATGTCAAACTATAAATATGTGCGGTGTATTTTGGGCTTGTTAAATACATCTTTCCATCACGATCAGTAAGAGCACCAAATGAGAGAATATTTTTCGAGAAATGGTTTTCCATCTGTAGGTAAAGGTCTAGAATTCTGTTTTGGTTATGTTGTTTTTTTTAATGGAAGCCACATATAAACATAAGTAAAATGAATTTCTCTTATAGGGGAAATTATGTGAAGAAAAGTTTGCTGCTATTTAAATTTTATTTGGTTCCTTTTAAATTTGTAGCTACAGATGTAAAATTTGTGAAACATACCACGAAAGTTAAAAACAAAACACGAACCACACAGGTTAACTTTTTTTTTTTTAAATTAACAAATCTACAACAAAGGAAAATTTGGTAATTGTTGAAGTTATAAATGTTGTGGAACGAGATTTAAATGGAAATTCCAAAACGAGTATGTTGCACAATGCTCGTTGTTATTCTAAACACAACATAGAAACGGCTCATTCACATGTGTATTTCATATGTAAATTGCCTCAAAACTATTAGCTGGGTAAACCTGTTGGTTTCGGTGGTAACTGGACTGGAAAAGCGAGCTTCGTGCTGGTTGATGGTTGGATTTCAGTGATTGTATCAGATTTTCTTTTGTTAAAACTCCTCTCCCGCCCTCAGAGGATCACAATGATGGAAAGCAACATGACGTCCCGGTATGCTTCAGAGTTCCTCGAGTTGGAGAAAATCGGCTGCGGGGAGTTCGGTGCTGTGTTCAAGTGCGTGAAAAGGCTTGACGGCTGCATGTATGCCATCAAGAGGTCAAAGAAACCTCTGGCGGGATCAGTAGACGAGTAAGTAGATTGGTTTGTTTAAACTACGCAAACGAAGATCATATTTATTTGTGGTGAATATTGGATACAAATTGGATGAGTGGAAAGATGGCTGGATTATTCAAACTTACCTGTACTACTGTGTTTGTAATAAGACACATGTGTATATACCCAAAGAGACCCATGTTTCCTCTTTCATGTTTTTAAAGGAGCTCACTAAAAGTTCTTTTACTGGAAAGTTTTGACCTCCACTCATGTGAACTACAAAAGCAGCTCCAGTCACGTCCTAATTAAAACGGTCTGTTCTCCTTCACAGGCAAAATGCCTTACGGGAGGTGTATGCTCATGCCGTGCTGGGCCAACATCCCCATGTGGTACGCTACTACTCAGCCTGGGCTGAAGATGACCACATGCTCATCCAGAATGAGTACTGCAACGGCGGCACGCTGTCTGACGTCATCGCAGAGAACTACAGACGGCTCTGCTACCTGTCGGTGCTTGAGCTGAAAAATCTGCTTGTGCAGGTCACACAGGGACTAAAGTACATCCACTCAACCTCTCTGGTGCACATGGATATCAAACCAAGTGAGTAATTGATCTTGATGTTAAAATATTGGGAGTTGCAATATTTGATGTATTTTTTTTTTAAAGCATAAAAGAATGGCCGTCGAACTTATTGAGAAGTTGGATTATTGGGCTTTCCTGCTTGAAAAAATGTTTCGGGGATCTCGGCAAGTTCAAGACAGCCAGAAAAATCATGCACATTGGTTAAAACGAACAGTCATTACAGACTTGATGACTT